ACTACAGTAAACCTAACATCAAGTTTTTGCCAGGTGACTATTACAAAGTGACGAATTTCTTTCATGAATCTTGATCTTTAATATCCTCAGAATAAGGCCAATCAAATAAGCGTTTTCATGGCTCTAAGGAACCCTAAGAGCAAGTTAATGACATTCGGCGCCGCAGTAGTGGGTGATGCTCCCCCCTACCTTCAATAAGTCCCGTCTCCCTTCGATCCTGACTCCCACGCTTGCTGCAAGACAAAAGGCACACAAGCCCACCTGATGCTGGTCTTGCTAAACTAAAAATGTATAAAATGAGGGTAGATCACATTTTTGTAAGTTTTATAAGGTTTAACTTCAGCTGCAGATAACTAGGTAGGTACTAGGTAAATCACTTAACACCAGGTGCGATTGCGGTCAAACACCTGCCTTGTCTTGCATAAAAAAATATTAAATAACTAAAAATCTAAGGATACAAAGGTGAAATTTATTGTAGAACAGTTTCTTGCAAACCTCTGTGTAGCTATAAGCAGAGAACACTTACAGAAATGACTTATGTAAAATGTAGGTCCTTTCTAAAATCTCACGATTCAAGCAGAAATCGTTAGGTCCGTACTGTCTAACACTTGAAGGGCAACTAGGTACCTACGAGTATTTTTACTTAATTTACGTCTTTCCACTTTACTTAGTTACAGGTAGGTAATGTGCATAGTTCGTATGCAATTTATTGTTTTGTTTCTGTTGCCAGATTTCGATAGATCCTGAAGCCAGCCATTTATGTTATCAATTTATACGTTCCTGACCTAATCGTCCTCTATTTGTTTCCGATGCCTGTTCGTGAATCCCATATCTCACTTAATAATAATGGAAAAGAAAAATAAGTACGTAATTGAAAGACCCGCCCTAGTAATGGAATTTTCTTGAATAACTTCGGGAAAGTAAGCGCCAACAAGTAGGTTGGTCCATTTAAAAATCTCATCCGACCGGCCAGCAGTGCTCTGTTTCTGTCTTCTCCATTCCTAGGTAAAGATGCGGTCTTTTTTCGAGCGAGTACCTACCTAGAGCATAGATTGAAACAGATTCATGTTGCTAATTTCATCGTCATCATCATTTCAGCCATAGGACGTCCACTGCTGAACATAGGCCTCCCCCAATGCTTTCCACGGTGATCGATTGGTAGCGGCCTGCGTCCAGCGCTTCCCTGCTACCTTTACGGTGTCGGTGGTTGCCAATTTGTTTGTGTAAAATTGTCTGTATTGGCCAAATCTCTTGAATTCATCTTTCTTGTTCTTAAAGAAGAAAAAAAAAGTGTAACCCACAAAAAAAATCATCCAGTATCGTATCCAGGTTAGGAGATCGGTACTAAAATAATACTATGGACATTTTTAGAACAGAACAGAACCCTATTAGTCAAATTCATTTTTAGAGAGATAACTGAAATGGACTTTCTAGCAAAAATGTTTCGACTAAACTCTGCAAAGTCTAGCATATTCTTTCAGCACCCTCACCGCTCTACGTCAGTCCACACCCTGCAATATCGGAGCAGGGGGTACGCGTGGGCGGCTGACGTCAGCACGCCCCCACCCCCCTTAACTTGACATTCGCGAGGCTGTATCGATCCGCCGCAATGCCGAGGCCGCCGGTGTTTACATCCACTCGTGAATGGAATGGCTATTCGTAGGCTAAATATAATTGTAGGTGTTCAACTTTGCATTGAGATGATCGTCTGTATGGTGATTATTCTTTGGTAGCTGTACAGATTAATTAATTCATAATTAGGTAATAAAGGTTTTCTCACCTTTCAGCTGACAGTGTTAATACCCTAAAATCTTCATGTAGCTTTAGGATTGTATTCCATATCGATTCTAATTAACATTGATTGATACCTTCTGAAAATCCGCTATTACGAAAAAAGGAAACAAGCGTCCACTTGCCTTGCCGTGCCTTGTACAACGTGCGTCATTCAGGCGTGGTCTGTGGCAATTATAAATGGTAGGCACAGCCTATGCATGCGAATATGACGTCAAACGACCGACCCTCCTGCAAACAAGGGGTTGTGTTCATACTTCATCGAAAATAAAAATGCAGATGTCCGTGAATTTCGATTGAGTGGGCAGAAAATCAAATATGAAGCAGTTAGTTAACTATATCTTCAGAAAGTAATAGTACTTCTAAAACCTAAATAAAATAAATTTTCTTCACCTGTATCCTCCGTTACGTAAAACTAAGTTGCCTGGTTGTGAAAATGTGTGCTCAATTCCGCATGCGCGAAGTGTGCGATCAAGTTCTGCTGAAAATCTTTTAGACGGTCTGTATTTGCACGAAGTCTGGCCTTTATTCTAAAAGCTGTTCGATTATGAATGTTCTTACCCTTTAAAATGATTCAATCACGTGACTAACATCATGATTTTGAAATTCAGGCGTTATTTCAGTACATTTTTTACCGTTTTCAGCGAATAGTTTCGTGAAAACCTACGCTCAAAATATAGCCATTTGCGTCATTTCACGCCCATGCTAACAGCACCAGGTCATCTAAGTGAGTACTTTGCCATTAACGTCATTGCAACTTGCAAGACATTTGTCTACCATTCCTATGAGTTAGGTATGTCTATCTACGAAGACTATTAGCACTTTCCTGCAATATGCGCCATCGATGCGTATTTAGTATTTCCTACAAAGTGTTATAAAAATAAAAGGAATTGAGCAGCTTCAGTAGTGCAAAAACTCGTATGAGCTGGAAATTAGAGTGTAGATTCTATTAGCATTATTATAAGGAACTAAGAATGGTCAAAGGAAAAATATTCATAAGTAGGTACCTACGCGATGTTTTAAATTGTTGCAAGTGTTATATAACTTTTAACTGTCAATCAGTTATTGTATTTATTTATTAGGTACACCAAAAAAGTCACATTTGTAACTAAATCTCACAACTAACGAACTTATGTTCTATCATCATCTCATCACGTAATCCAATAAGTATGAGACAATTTTTAGAGAGCTTTTATAGAGCTTCTACGACAGAACGGCGAGCGCAGAAAGCTCGCAAAAACGGTAGTGTGAAATCCAACCTTTCAGGGAGATATTCGTAACGAAAAATACTTTTTCAATGATTATAAGAATGATTTTAAGTATACAGGGGTGATTTTGTAATCAGTATCCAGATAGGAGCGACTCAGAGTCAGTAACTTCATCGATTTACGTAAAGAAAACAACCTTTTTTTCACATTTAATTATAAAAATAATCCTTTGAAACTTAAGATATGGGCAGCCACGAATTAAATTTTCAATATATTTTTTTGCTAAAACTACCACAATTAAAAATAATTTGGATAAAGTTTACAAAGTCACTCTGTATGTACATATAATCTTTATCTCTTTCATCTATATGTTACGGTTAATGTGATAAATTGAAAATTATGAATAATAACCGGTTATTATGAATAATTACCGACAGTCGCGGTAAAAGTGATAAATTAATAACATTTATCAGTGATTATTTAATAATTCAACCTTAGTACTAACAAATATCATAAAAGAGAACAACATCTTGTGTACGTGCTCTTGTACAGCCAAAATTTTTGAACGTTTTGATATCATATAATTTGGCAAAATGAGTTTGGAATGTTTCTTGCATAATATTACTTTTCCATGATGCCCATAACATAATGTTTTGATTTAAAGTGAAAAATAGGTTAAGGTGCGGCGGGGGTGGCCCTTGGGCCACCCCTAAGCCGCCTATTTAGTTTTATACACACATAAATGACCTCATATTAATCACATTTACCACATCATGAGGTAATTATTCATAATAACCGGCGATTATTCATAATTTTCACATTTATCACATTGACCGTAACATATACACCCTTCTATTTTAAGATCAACAGGTTTACCTATGTTCACCATGACGTAGATACGTGAGTTCTCGATAATTTGTAAATCGTAGGCGAGTTACAGAATTCTTTGAATTTGGTGTATTCAAAATGAATTATTTCTAAAAGTAAACTGCCCCAGGTTAATTTTCCGCGGTACAAATATACTGTTTTATCCTAATAATACAGCCTCCTACGTATAACAAGAGTCTTATAAATAACTAAGCCTCAAGGCCCAGCATCGTTCTGGGTCACAGTTACTTCAGGTCGAAATACAAAGGTCAAACGTTGTATTGTTCTTTGATCAAAAAATTTGAAATTCAAATGAAAAGGCATTCAAGTTCAGGCACCTAGGCCCTACCTACTACATACATACACCTAAATATTATAGACTACTACCATAGAAAAGTAATGAATAAATTTTTAGCCTTACGCCCTGCGAACCGGCCAAGCAACATATTTTGACTTAGTAGAGTTTAACGGGACTATTCCCACCTCTCGTTCCTAGTGTAGCCAGGATCTACAACTTGACCGTCATAAAAAACCCAACCAATGAAGTTAATGAATGTTAGTTGTAGTAGAGTTTGTGAAGTTAGGGCGTGTAGAGTTACAAGCTTGGCTCTACGTGAGATATTAGACAACTTTTTTACAGTGCGAGCTTTGTTACATTTTACGTAAAATCAGATTAGTATTAGCTCCGGGATCCCGGGAGATCCCGGGGATTAATATTAGCAATAAGTCCAAACATTTTGGTGTAGTATAATCGACGCTATCGCCATAAAAATTGCGATTTTAGTGACTTCTGCCTTAATAAGTACTAAGTAAGTCTTTGATTTAATGATACGACAACCAAAATGACCAAACACAAAATAAGTGGGTAGCTATTTCTCCACGAAAACTCTTACAAAAATAGACATAACAACAGACTTCCTGTTACTAAAGATAAGTAGAAAAGACTTGATTACTCTTTTATATCAGCCATGTTCCCGTTAACAGAATGGTATTTATTATGATCGCCGGGATCGGTTTCATTCTGGAAGCTGCGGCGCAATTTCCCAGTTAGGGGGATGGTCCAAGTCAAAGTTAAGGGATGTTTTAGATATTAAGTCAAATTCCATCAAAGATGGAGTGAAGATACATGCAAGGATGGTAAAAGATTTGGAGCTGTGGTATGCATTGATGGAAGTAGGTATATGAGATGGATAGAGCTCACAATATCGACTGAAAAGTCCGTTTACTTATATGGCAATAGCGTATTTGACGTAAGTATTTTAACGGTTCATCGCCTATTGTTTAGTGTAATTACTGTGTGATGTATGTAAGTTTGGATTGACGTTAATGTAGGTAAAATGTTCCCTGAATGGAAATTAGGTTTCCATTTTTCGCCTGTTTTTCTACAGCGTGGCCCATTAAGAATGATTCATTATAGAAACTGTATTTTTCTACATTTCATGTAGCTCTTTATCACCCATCAGCTCACAGCTCACCCTACGCAGCCATCTAAAAGCGGAAAGCAATTGTTTTAACGCAATGCTCCTACGTTGGACCACACCTCGCCCACCCCAGTTATCGACGCGGGCATGAATGGCGCTGACGTCACGGCGTACCCCGCCCTTGAACTAGCATCGATCTGTGCACTTGAACTGCAGCGTGGGAACCAGCAGTCAGGGTTGGGGACGCTTGTGGATCGAGCTTTCTAGACTGTTAGAGATGATTGGCACAGATGGTTATAGATTTGTATGGGACTCGATGATGATATAATTAAATACGATACTTAATTAATTGTTAAGTAATTATTTTACATTTTCGAAAAAAAAACGTAACAACAATATTAAATCAGTCACTGAAGGAGATGATTATACATAATATTCGAAACCAAATGAAAATGTAGGTCTAGGTAGACATCATGGCTATCTTTTTTTTACGTAATGTTTCGTGTACCGCACGTATGATTTTACTTTTGTTGGCTTTTATTTTAAAGTTCATTTCTTTACCAAAGCACAACCCGGGCAACCTCATCTTAGGCTGAGTTGCACCACCTAATTTTGACCGTAACTATAACGATAACCGATGTTTTTTGTATGGAGTTTGACAGATTTTTGACGTTTGTCAGAGTTAAAGTAAGATGGTGCAACCCAGCCTTAGTTTTTGGGTATAGGTTTGGTAACACAGTTGTTTTTTTTAATATACTTACTTATACATAAAGCTTTATTCAAATTCAAGATTAAATAGAGAATATTCATACTTGCATCGACTCATATTACGGTAATCTATTCTTGTACCGAGGTTTGGGCGTCGATTCAGAATAGCTGCGACTGTGTCTCGTCTCGTAGTATGAAACGAAGCTCACACAACTCGGTACAAAGTCAAGCATGGAAAGTATTTGAAGTACCAATCACAAACCTCAAACTATTCTTCAGTGAATTTTGAAATAACAACCTGTGTGTTATTTCGTAATCAGCCTTAATTAAGTACAAAATGATAATGAAGACCTGATTATGAAAAATGACCATCTTCGTACCGCTCATTTTTTATTTATTTTCCTCGCAAGCATTTGTGTAAATGCAGCCTAGTTTACAAATTCCTTCGTAATGGCGACGTACTAATTTTTCCTCTACGACACTGTCCGAGCTCGAAACTCAGCTCACTCTGTTTCGACTGCTCGAATCGATAAACGTAGATTGTAAAAACAACTGCAGTTTATTTCTACGTAGATCTACAATGTGATGGTAACCTCCGATAATTTCATGAATTTGGACAAAAATAGCTATGCCATAATTATTGTCATAAATGTAAAGTTTGTTTATTCCACAAAAAACACAAATGACTCATAATTTTTTGTAACCAATGTAAACACAAACATTCGCTGCCCTCGTGAACACCGTCATTTTAGCGGTTTTTACGCGTCTCGCGTCACCGCGAAAAGCGTCTCGTTGCGTCATTCGCGTCACTCGCGTCGTCCGTCGTCATTGAGCTACGTCATCGGTGGTGATAGATAAGTAGCCGAATCCGGTTGCTTTGGTGCGGTACGGTTTCATCATGTTGCCTTTTAAGTATTGATTCATTTGGTTTGAGGGTTAAATGATGTAATGTACAGAGATTTTGATACAGAAATGAGTAGAATGATTTTAGGATCTTTTATTACTGATTTTTTATAAAGTATGTATTACGAGTGGGCTTATAACAATAGTGCAGCGGCGGTGGAGTTTGAACCAACGTTTTTCGGATCTTGGGTCGCGGTCGGTCAGTCCGAAACTTTCACCGTTAGGCTATTTATTTATTGTTACTTGACTTGAGTTTGAGTGACTTTCAAGGTAATGAGTTATAATCATTTTTATTAGGTATTATAATACTTTCTTTTTCAGTTTGTTTTGTTTGAAGACAATTTTGTAGTCATAATCTTTATGATTTAACGCACTATCTAATCAAAGCGTTTTTTGCGTTACTTTAATGTTTTGATAACATTAAAAAGGTGACATTGAAATTTAGCTAAATGATATCAGCCTGACTCACGAGTACCTACACATTGTTAATTTATTTATAATGAGAATCCGGTAATTAATTAATCGTATTATGTTATAAACGTTAAAAAAAAACACGCAGAAATAGAAATACGAGTAGGACAAACCCAAGAACGCTTTTTTATGCCCTAATGAAAGAATAAACAAGCATCATCATAGAGTGATGTCCATATCACTGACGGCTAGTTTTGTTTGCCGATATGATGAGTATTGTAGGTACTGATTTTGGGAAATCCAACAAAACCGCAATCGGTCGTGAGCGAACCGGTTTGTAGATTTATCTTTCCACGCCAATGCTGGATGTTAACTTAACTAGCGACTGATTTTCAATGTTTTTCGATAATATCGAATGCCTAAACTTTGTATTGTGACGGGATTATGAAAAATGATAGGTATAGTAACGTTAGAATTTTGTTAAATGTTAGTATGATTACTTTATCTGTCAGCTATCTTATTGAGTCTTGTTTTTTCGATAGAGTTCAACAAGTAGTAAGTTTAGAATCTAGAGTTTTTGTCGATAAAATAAAAAAATAATAATATTAGTGTGCTCATAATTACGTGATTTCTCGAGATGACTTATTATTCCGATTTTGTACACCTACCAATTATACTCCTACTAGGTACATAATCCTATGTATCATTAACAAAATGAAACAACAGCAAAAGCTTAAAAAATAATTTAATTTCGTCAAAACTAGATTTTGCTCTGTTATTAGTTCCTCATGAAATACAAATGTTTACTGTATATTTGCTTACATCTAACACATCGTAAACAAGGGCCTTATAGTTGCCAAGGGCTGCGCCCGCGCATAAAGAGGCGCGCGACCGCTGTCACGTAGACATGTGCGCAGATACACCGCCATGATAATTACAATGCCATATTAAAACCTACTTTTATTAAGTCGACAGCGTATTTAGAGTTATATTTTGGCTGCAAATCGCGCCTATAACAACTAGGGGTCCGTACATGGATATTGAAAGAGTCAGAATTAGACAATAATCTATGTCTTCAGGGGTTCGCGCCCCCCTGGTGAGGTGCGGATTTTCGTTTTTCAGGTTACAGTAAAGACTGGCCACTATAAATAAGGATCTTATAAATAAAAAAATAAAACTAAGAAAATGTCGAAAAACAATTGAACATTGCTTTAACGTGAGAACATCGTGAAAACAATTGAGCACCGGAAAATCACGACATTAGGAAATTAATTAGACACAACTAAAAAAATATCAGTCTTTGTAACACCTCACTTTTTTGTTGAAAAAAAAAAAAGTAAATAAAATGCCAGTGTTTAGCTTGGTGTGTTGTCATTTGTTGTAGAGTCAGCGTCAAATAGTAAAGAATACCAAAAGTAGCCAAAAAGTTCGTAACACGTCTTTGTTACAATTGGAAAAAGGTTTTGTCAACTTTTTGGCAACTTTGGGCGTCAGGAACTATTTGACGCTGACTGTACTATAACCAAAACGGGCTTGAAGTGCAAAAGGTTGAGTACCTCTGGCCTGAAGCCACCTCACGGGGTCTTCAAGGTAATATTTAGCAATCGATACACGTGTTTTGCTCGTCAAAACACAGACACAATTACCATTGAAAGTTATTATCTGCTTATAATTTTGCGAAGCCTTTGATAAGTATTTCCGATAATATTAAGTCTGAATATTTGGGCTAATTAGGTATTACTTTGAAGTCAATGTGGAATATTGAAATATAGGTGAAGCGATTAATTTATGTAGGTAACATAAGTAAACGTTTGGTTAAGACATTGCTGAATCAATGTTGATTAGGTTTTTGACATTGAGGGCTATCGTTTTAGCGCTCACCAGTTAGCGCCACTGTCACTTGCTAGTAGCGAAGACAGTGGCACCAACTGGTGAGCGCTAAAGTGGTAGGAGGACTATCGCATTTGCACTCATCAAGATGGCGCCACTGTAGAGTAAGGTCCTGTCAATCGCCAGGGGTGCCAACTGTTAAGTATAAAAACGATAGCCCTCATTAGGTAATTGTCAAAAGAAATTAGATTCCGTGCTTCGAAGTGTTACATTAGACCATTGTTCCGATTGAGTCCTGTCACCTTAGCTGGCCCAACTCACACGATATAGGTAAGTTCGTTCGTTCGTTTCAGCCAAATGACGTCATGGATTTCCATAACAACCGCTCCTGCGCAGTCTGCAACCAGGTTCTTCCAGCGATCTTCACCAGATCGTCGGTCCACGGTATTAATTGTATTTAATTTAAATGTACCTACGATCAAATACGAGATACAAATCAACCAAGGATTGCCATCCCTGGTTTAAGCGTTGTTCAATAGTATTATCACAGATATAAGATAGTGGCGCTCCCACGGTGAATGTTGACGTGTGAGTTGTTTTACATAATACATAATGTTACATGAATTGTTTGTTTATTCCGTTAACTGTGCATGACGATTATGTAAAACGATTTGTTTTTATAGCATTCTAGTAGAAGCCTAGTTGGAAATTTCCTTTCGATTTGAAGCTTTCAAGTAAATAAGGATAGAGATATAATAAGCTTTTCAAGTATTTTGTTATTGAGTTTACGAGAGCTTTACAAATAAGATGATGTCTGTGTAGGTTGTTACAGACTTTTAGTACCGGTTAAAAATTATGGTTAACAAAAAACCTGTATGTACTTCTTTATTTCTGCCACCT